TCGCCCGAGTGTAGATGTACCCTGTTTGTTCTACCCTGCACTTGAATGCAAGGAATGTGGTGTAGCCCAACGCAATATCCACGATTAAAATATCTCCTTTCCTTTTTTTCCCTCCTTTCTTTCTTTCTCTCTCCATTTCTATTTAAACTTTCGACTCCTTAGAGAAATGCCTTTTCAATGTATACTAGTGGTTCACTTCGTTTATACACAACTGTAAGGTGGTCCTAATGATTGTGTAATTGGAATCACTCCTATTTAATCGAAAGAAAAATACACAAGAAGGCTTATTGAACCTCTAAATACTTTCCTCTTTTTTTCAATATTTGTGATCACGCTCTACACAAACCAGATGTCCACAAAGCATTATATATATATATATATATATATATATATATAAGCTCAATATTTTGAGTCGTTCTTTACAGTGAGGGCTGTATTGTGTGTATGCTACAGGAACGCACAACGACTGACTGTTCTACCTGAACCCCGGTGATAGCTTAGTGGTTATCACCTTCGACTAGGCGATATGGTCTACGGTTTAATACTGGCATGTATTACTTAGAAATCACGTCGGTTTCAAAATAGGTCAAAATTGCCTTCTCGCCATGCGATCAGTCTTGTGTAGATATTAAATTTGCTGCCTTCAGGGACAATCAAAATAATAATGCAAATAGATTACCCTTTTTGATACTGATAAAATCTGTTTATTGGTCGTATAACTGGTGTGGTGAGGTGTTTTAATAAGTAAATCTCTTGAAAGCTGGAAAATGCTTTCTCGAAATCGTAGCAGTCACCTTTTTGTACTTGTAAAATACATCCGAGACTATTTCAATTTCCTACACACCTTCTTTTTTTTTTTTTTTTTTTTCTTTTTTTAAACGGTCAAATTAGGCAGTGGTCATGGATGAAATCTGATTTAATAATCATATATATATATATATATATATATATATATATATATAAACGCGGTTTTTGTATATCAGTAAACAAAATGTTTTAATCACGTCTATTTTAGGTGGGGGAAAAAGGCTTAAAACTGAGTTACTCATTTTTTTTTTTAAAATGTGGGATATATTTATCACTAAAGCGAGAAATTATTTTGTTCAGGTGGGGAAAATACTAAGACTAATTAGTTAGGTATAAAAAAAAAAAAAAAGCAGATTTATTCTGAATTCTCCCATTTTTCTATGTAATTAAATTCTTTGTATTTGAGACCTACGTCTTTTTTTTTTTTTTATTGTATTATTTTTATTTTTCAGTAACTTAATTTTACACGTTCCAAGTAAGTAGAAAGTTTAAATTGCACCTGACAGATATGTTTTTAATAGGTGTATCATTGCCTGATTATCTCTCAGTAAGTAAGAGACGAAAAGAAGTAATTAATTTGATTTTATTCTAAGGTCATCCTATTGCTGAGAGAGGGGGGTGCAGTTTTATTCTTACCTGGTTGTCTCTCCATTTGACTCTCCTCCCCTGAGCCTGGCCTCTCGACCCATTTCGTTTCTTTCATTGGGCACCTGTCTGTAGCGTAGCGGTTTGCACGATTATTTAATATTTTTACACGTTAGGTAATTCTTTGACGGTCGCTAAATAAGTAAATCTTATAAAAATAGACATTGCATCAGATTCTGGATAAAAACGCCAAATATGGATTTCAAATTAAATAGTTGATTTATATAATGATTTAAATAAGACTAAGTCTGTCAATTTACCCAAGGATACCTTTAACTTTTATTTCAGATAAATGATAGATTTTTTTTTATTAAATCCAGACCCGCAACAAGGGACTTGTATGATTTCTCGTATAAAAATATTTTGATAATTATTAATAATTAAACACTTATTAACATTATTACACGTAGGACTTTTCTCTCAAGCCCCTTCTTGAGTATTATTTATGTGGATTAAATAAACTGCTTTTTTTTTTCTTTTCCTTCTTTTAATATTATTTACGTAATGTTGTTAATTTTAGATCAAGGTCCGTCTATCATACGTTTTGTGAAAACTACATGCAGAGAATCGCCAGTCTTTTTTTGTTGTATAGGGGAAAAAATAAGTCGACCTCCTCTTCGAAAAAAAAAAAAAAAAGAGGGGGAAAATTTAGTAAATAATTGGAATGTAGCTATTTTCATGCGCCTAAAAGGTCCGTTTACTGTACATCTCTGACGTATGGATTCTTCCTCTAGTCTTCACCCATGATTGATTTCTACCGTCTTAATTGAAAAACTCAGCGTTGTTAAACATTGGGATATTTTAAAAGGCTTATTTTTTTTAGCTATTATTTGAGGAAAATGGTCAGTTGTCGCCTGTCATGGTTAGTTTTCTGTTATTTTATCCCCTCGATCAATATTAAGAAGTAACTTTTTTTTTCCTGGTCTCTACGACATTAAAATTCTATTTAGTTAGAATGACCTAATTTCTAAAGTCTGAAAAAAAAAATGCAATTTATTTTACTGTCGTAAGATGGGATTGATAAAAATCTCTAATGCATTTGCTCAGTCTATTTTTATCATTGCGATTTGACCGGACTACTTTCTGAAGTCTTCAGGTGATAAATCTAGGGAGACGTCTGTCGAATTTGATTCATCGAGTGCAGGTATAGATTAAGCCGCCTTTTCACTATTAAAAATGAAGGTTTTGCGAATCGCGTCCCGGGCTTCGTTATTGGATTCAATTCAATCATGGGCTTTTTTGTTGTTGTTGTTTTACGTAATGCCATCAGCATTCATTTTAGAGACTGACTGCTAAGCAACGGGTTTCTGCGTGCTTAGTTTAAAATTAATTTTATTCTCCTTGAGTTGATCAGGTCCTGACAGAGCTTGAGCTGAAATGTGAACCTCTCGATTCCTTGTTCACTGTTGTGCCGATTGAACGAAAAAGCACGTTTTCTTACGAATGATATGGATGTTTATATTTCGCCGTTACTACTTGTAGAGGTTCAAAGCAATAAACACTCCCCTAAGGGACGGATTTGTTAAATTCTTGATTTTATGATGAAAATAATTTGATTTATTTTCATTGAAACGTATCATTATTAATAATTATTGGGATCAAAACGTCGAGGATGGAAGCGTTTTTTTATGTTTTTTTTTTTTTTTTTAATCACTGACCTCTTGAATTCTTCAAAAATTAATATGCGAGAGTAGAATCATCGCTTCCACCAACTGAACCAACACCAGACACTGTGCCACAGAATAAAAAGTTGGGGGCGGGGGTCTTCGAAAAAAATCAGATTTTAATTTTGAAAGACTGAATTTTTTTCTTTTTTTTTTTGATCCTCTGATTTTTTTTTTTCTTTTCTATTATACAACTTATTCTTTCTTTTTTTTATAATCGGTATCGCCCCATAAAGTCACTAAGACACTAGGGGTTACAGTGTAGAAGAATTAGTAACAAAAACATTAGTAATGAACGGGAAGAAGACAGAAAGACAGTAGATATAATAACTAAATATTTTTCATTTGTATTAATTTTCTAGAGTGAGACCTTCAGACTGCCTCTCCCCGCCACACACACCATACATAATTAGGCTTATATAAAAGATTTACAAGCTAATGTTTTGAAGGAACGATGTTGAAAGTGAATTTTTCTGATTTATTTTGAAAATTAATTGCAGTACCGGGTTGGGGTTTTTTCTTTTTTTTTTTTTTAATGGACAAATGATTACAGATCAGCTCAATTAGCATTGTCACAGATTGAGGCCAAGAGGGCAATTTTAGACTTCTTTGTTTTTCGTTCTCGTCTCCAGCAAAAAAAAGGGGGGATGGGGGGAAGCACCGTGGATGAACTTGAGAACAATGCTTTATAAATATAAACGGACGATGACACGACATCTTGAAAAGAGGTTGTTGTGGAAAGGCAAGATGAAGAGGTCAACATTTTTAGTCACGACTTGCTAAGGTTCTCCAGCCATTAGGATTGTACCGATTGTTTTTACCATGTCTATGTCTTTAAATAATCCAATGTAGAATTATGGAACCAACAAATTGTAGATTTGATTGTTATTTTTAGGGTAACAACACCAATTCCTCTTTTTGGCTAACACTTTTTATTTTTTTAAGAAAAATGTATGTTTGGGAGAAAACTGGTTAAAAAAACAAAAACAAAAACAAAAAAAACAATAAGTAAGTGTTTTATTAATAATAATAAAAAAAAATAAATATCTCGTAAAGGTTTACGTTCAAAATTTCGATAAAAATGACTTCATTGCTTTAAAATTAAGGCACACAAGAAAATAATAAAAATAAATAAATTTTGAAAAGTGGATCAGGCTCAAGAAGGCCGGAGAACAGACCGGTCAACTTCTGCCGTGTCTTTTACAAACTAACAAGATTGAATGAAAATTTTTACGATCACACTGAATGATCGCTCCAGAAAAGAAATATCTTTTACTCTCCTTTTTTCCGTGTGCGGGTATATATATATATATATATATATATATATATAGTTTTACTACTGTATCTCTTGGTCTCGAAGGCGCTATATTTTCCCTAAAAAGCTTTCGAAAAATTTCTGTCCTACAGGTTGAAGGTGACTTTAATTTTACGTGTGTAATTATTGCATTTTAATTTTTAAAATAATAACGTCAAATTTGAGGCGCTGCATTGAAGCCGAGGATTACTGCAAAAATATTTTATTGTAATAATAATAATAATAATCTATCCAAGAATGCGTCAAGAGTCAAGACGAACCCATTGGGCCGGTGTCCTCGTTTTAAAATACTGACCAGTTATATATGTATGTATGTATGTATGTATGTGTATATATATATATATATATATATATATATATATATATATATATATATATATATATATATATCCCATGAATTCGATTTTAAGAGTAGGATTTATTTTTAATTTACATTGCTACTTACTCATCATTCCACAATGATACATTTTGACCCGATTGTTTAAAAAAAAAAAGTCGTTTCGCGTACAGTTATAGGCTCGAGTGAAAGGAAAAAATCTATTTTTTTTTTTTAACATCAAATCATTACGATGTGGTTTTGTTGGATTAGAGTAGTTCCTTGTTCGTGTTGCATAGCATCGGACCCTTCCACCCTCCTCCTCCTCCTCTCCAACATTTCAAATCCACGTCTCTCTCTACAGGTTGTTCGCTCTCCCTCCCTCTCGTGATTCTACGCTTGAACTGTTGAGCTAAGCCTGCAAATTTCCATTTGCACTTGCGAAATGCCACGCGTTCTAAAATGTAGTCTTGAAATTTGGAGACGATTTTCCATACGCTCTTCTTTACAAGGTTTATATTTATATATATATATATATTCTTAAAGTGACACAAAAAGCACCTGACTGCAGCCAGTCGCTCACACCAAAAATCCCTTTTGCCATCTGGACATTCTGTTAGTGTTAGAGTATAGGGCTGATGGCGGTGAGGTCAGAAACTGATCACGATTTCCCGCTGATACTGGCTTAGAGAAAATAGTGAGGGTCTTATTTTTAAAATGTGAGCATATGCCCTACTTCCAGTCTGTCAGTCTTGCACTTGTAACATTCAAAATAAATGCTTTGATTTTTCTTCTACTTTATTATTATTATTATTATTATTATTATTATTATTATCATCACGAACGTCCATACCATTACTGTCTCCTCAAAGCTGCTGCTCTTGCTAATAATAATAGCAATAGCCTTGAGAAGACTCACTTGCTGTCACTGATCTGTGTCCACTATAAGCCACCTGTTTTGTTTTTGCTATTGTTCACTTAATCCAAGGCCCAACAGCCACTCAAAGTAGAGGGTCACCGAGTGAAGTTGTATGCTCGTAGGAAAAGGAGGGGATATTAATGCAGATTATGATAAGAACATGTAAGATAGATAACGGTTGACTGTCGACTTGAAGAGGTTAAGATTAAGAGAAGCATCCTCTCAGGAGTCTGTTCCATAAAGCTGGGAAGAGGTTGAATTTCCTCCTTCCCAATGGAATACGAAGGGGATGCGGATGATTCGAACCTGTGGATGTGGCGTGACTGGTCTGAAAAGGTAAATGCCTGACCTGAATTTACATTTTGAAGACCAAACTGTAAGCCAAAGGAAAGTGTTTTTAGAGTATGAGTCACCCTTTACAAGGCACGGTAGCCACTCGAGGTAGAGGGTTGCGTTAGTAGGCCATTTATATGTATAGGTAAGGGAGATAACGATTAAGCCTAGCCTTGAATAGATTGTAGTAATGGGGGAACTTCCTGTCGGGAGTCGATTACATACACATCTCTCTCTCTCTCTTTTAAATATATATATATAAGATCTGTCGGAATAATAGTAAAAAAAATCGATCACTTTTTTAGAAATATATCGTTGGTTTTTGTAATAAGTGTTGAGCTTAATAAGGTGATGGCCTACGGCCATATCACGTTGAAATGCCGCTTCTCGTATGAAGTTAAGCAACGTCGAGCCTGGTCAGTACCTAGATGGGTGAGCGCTTGGGAATACCAGGTGCTGTAAGTTTCGATGTGCGGGTGGTGTAATTGATAACGGCTCACAATTGGAGATCACAGAGCCGAGTTCGGATTTCAGCCGATTCATTTCGAATATGCTATTTAATCCACCTATAGGTGAATCAGTAGGACTTATCAGTAAATTACTATCTTCAAAAAATTTTTACAATCTAAAATATTTTCTGGCTTTGAATAACCTGAAAAAGGTTGATAAACAGTAAAACGCAATCAATCATAATAAAGTGATATCTGTATTCTTAGAATATTATTATTATTATTATATACACATTCACTTCCGGGTTCCAACCAGAGACCTAAGGCCAGAAATGGTCTTATGACATTTCCCACTGATCATTTTAGTTAAAAAAAACTAAGATCACACACATTTACTATTATTATTATTATTATCTTTATTATTATTTATACCTTTATTTTTATTATTATTAATATAATTATTATCATCTTTGTTATTGTTATCGTTATTATTGTAATTATTATTATCATTATTATTGTTATTATCATTATTGTTATCAATATTATGTCATTATAATTATTATATTTATCATTATTGTCATCAACATTATTATCATCATTCTTACCAGTTTTATTATGATTATTATTGTTGTTTTTTTTTTTTTTTCAAAGGTTTATTTATCATTTTTACGTGGTTATTGTTAATTAATTAATATTTGTTTTATGTTCGTTAAAAAAAAAAGATATTGTTCTTAGTGAGTTTGTTCTCAATATATGAATCTGCCCTAACTTGAGTCGCCATTTTTCGCTCTACCCCATTTAGTTACGGAAACAAACACACTGACGTCCTTACCAGCTGAGCCACGTCTTACTCATTTTTACAAGGGTTTTTTTCTTTTCTTTTTTAAACAACTGCTATTTTTACCGCTTCGTTCGTAAGTTTGCACCGAACAGGTGTCAGTTGGTAGTGAGTGCGTGGTGGGGGAGTTGGTGTGTGTGTGTGTGTGTGTGTGTGGATTGACGGGGATGGGGTGTGGGGGTGTAGGAATCAACTCTTACAGAGGCAAGGTCACCGAGTGAAGCGACAGTCGGCAGGAACGAGGACCAAGGTATATAGCGTTAGTTCGGGAGGATAAATTACTGGCTTTGTTGTCGGTCCTGTCATCTTAGTGTGAAACGAGTTACAACGAAGAGACTAAGTGTTCCTCTCCCCTACCCCGACCCTCGAAGAAAGAAGGGCCACCCCGATACACGTGTAATGTTGGGCCCCGTGCAGGAATATCTGTGTGACGATCCAATTATCCGCCATTCTCTCTCTCTCTCTCTTTTCTATTTCTACCTCTCCCCTCCAATACGGAAACCTCTCTCCCTATCCTCGTTATTCGTCTATCCCGCCCTCACTCGATCTATCTCTCTTTACCTGTAACCTCACTCTCTTTTTTCCCCCTCTCACATTATTCGTCTGTCAGTTTCCCCCCTCTTTATTTATAGCCTTCTCTCTCCCCCCCTTTTTCTATCACGTTGTTATCTGTGAACCTCACTCTCTCACTCTCTTTATTCGTCTTTCTTCTCTCTCTTTCTCTCATTACTTGTTTTTTCCTTGCTCACTTTATTCCTTTTCCCTTCTCTCTTTATTCGTCTTTTCTGTATTCGTCTTCCCCCCTCTCTCACTCTCTCTTTGTTCGCCTTTCCTCTCTCTCTTCGTCTCCCCCCTCTCTCTCTTTCTTCGTTCGTCTTCCCCCCTCTCTCTCTCTCTTCGTTCGTCTTTCCCTCCCTCTCTCTCTCTTCGTTCGTCTTTCCCTCCCTCCCTCTCTCTCTCTCTTCGTTCGTCTTTCCCCCTCCCTCTCTCTCTCTCTTCGTTCGTCTTTCCCTCCCTCCCTCTCTCTCTCTTCGTCTCGTCTTTTCCCTCCTCCCCCCTCTCTCTCTCTTTGTTCGTCTTTCCCCCTCCCCTCTCTTTGTTCGTCTTTCCCCCTCTCTCTTCTTCTCCCTCTCTCTTCCTCTCCCCTCTCTCTTTATTCCTCTTTCCCCCTCTCTTTATTCCTCTTTCCCCCCTCTCTTCCTCTCCCCTCTCTTTATTCCTCTTTCTCCCTCTCTCTTCCTCCCCCTCTCTTTTTCCTCTTTCCCCTCTCTCTTTCTCCCCCTCTCTTTATTCCTCTTTCCCCCTCTCTTCCTCCCCTCTCTTGTCCCTCTTTCTCCCTCCTCTCTTTGTCCCTCTTTGCCCATTGTAATTGTCTATCTCCCTTTCTCTCATTGAAACATACCTTTTCTCTTTAATTATTTGTTTGTCTTTCCGTATTTATCTTTCTTACTCATGCTTCCTCTTCTTACCATTTTTTCTATCTCTTTCTTTATTATCCGTGCCCCCCTCTCTATCATTATTCACCTTTCCCTCTTCTTTTCCCCTCTCACTTTATACGTCTCTCTCTTTCTATGCCTATAGATCTCCTCTCACACTTCCGTTTTTCTTTCATTACATTCATCACATTCCACCTATTAACTGTTTCTCTCTACACCTGGCCTCTTTCTCTCTCTCTCTCTCTCTTTACTCTCTCTCTCTTTTTCTCTTTTCATACACTGTCTTTGTCTCTAATTTCTATCCTTCCTTCCCTCTCTAGAACCCTCAGCATATCTCTCTCTATCTATAACCTGTCCTTTTCTTTTTCTACATAATCTTCTTAATTAATTTTTTAAATTATTTCACCCCCAAGCAAGGCAATAAAGCCACTAAGATGCAAGGAGTATGAAAGAATATAAAAAAAAGAAAACCCTTAAGGAGAGAGAACTTGATTGATTCATTCATTTTCTACTGCTTATCAACAGGTTATTTAAAGCCAGAAAATATTTTTAGAGTATAAGTTTTTTTTTTTTTTTTTTTTTTTAATAATGATTCAGTGATACAAGTCTTACTAATTGGCCCGTAGTTTGTGGGGAAAAGAGATGGGTTCATACCTTTCCCAAGGCTATTTGCACGTAAGTAGATATAACAAACACAATCAGAACTTGGGAGAGTGAACAATAAAAGAATAGGAATTAAGAAAACAGTAGATAATTAGACATTGCATTTAAATTTTTGAAGATCATAGTTAACTGGAAAGCAAGGAACCAAAAGACAGTTCAACAAGCAAGAAGTGCGAGAGAAGAAACTGTTAGCATAGAACTTACAGTCACATCTAAACATTTCAACTGTAAAATGAAATGATTTTAACACATCTTATTCTTCGATCATACCTACTGATCTCAGTCTTTATGACACAAGATATTAAGATGACATTTGGTTTGGGCAGACTGGTTTGGTTTATTTTACAGCATATCAACACCTCAATGGGTTATTTAATGCCGACAAGATTTTTATTGCTGGTAATATTTTTTCAAAAATGTATTGCTGGGAATAAAACCTATTTTTATACTTTCATAGTGCTTTGACCCCCCTTTGAGGGGGGGTAACTATTTTCCCATAGCTGGGACCCTGACAGGTGCTACCATCTTTAGTCTAGGTGGACCTGGGAACACCAGCAATTAAGAGGTGGTTCCATGCTCCTCGAAGCCTCCTGATCAAAGGCCTTGATGCCGGATGTAGTTTATCGTCTTACCCGAGACGCGGATGTAGTTTATCGTCATACCCAGGATGGGGGTTGGGCAGAGTCATAAGGTACGGTCTAGAAAAAGATGTCAGGAAATGTCTTAATAAACTCGTCAGTGACAGTCTTATTAACTGATTTTAAATAACTTCCTTCCTTAGGTGCCATGCGTCATGCCCTCTTGAGTGATCATGTCTCCTTTCAAATCAAGATTGACATATTCATATAAGATTCTACTGGGCATAAATTGGGGGATCGGTTTCCTGTTATCATTAAGTACTAAATTGATTACCCCCACCACCAGAATTACTACATATTAATATCCTTCCCTAGGTTCCATGTGTGATGCACACTTGTGTGATCATGTCTCTTTTGAAATCAGGATTGACATATTCATATAAGATTCTAATGGAAAGTGAGGGGTCGATTTCCTATTGTCATTAAGTACTAAACTGATCCCCCCCAAGAATTACTACATATTAATATCCTTCCCTAGGTTCCATGTGTGATGCACTCTTGTGTGATCATATCTCTTTTGAAATCAGGATTGACATATTCATATAAGATTCTAATGGAAAGTGGGGGTCGATTTCCTATTGTCATTAAGTACTAAACTGATCCCCCAAGAATTACTACATATTAATATCCTTCCCTAGGTTCCATGTGTGATGCACTCTTGTGTGATCATGTCTCTTTTCAAATCAGGATTAACATATTCATATAAGATTCTAATGGAAAGTGAGTGATCGATTTCCTATTGTCATTAAGTACTAAACTGATCCCCCCCAAGAATTACTACATATTAATATCCTTCCCTAGGTTCTATGTGTGATGCACTCTTGTGTGATCATGTCTCTTTTCAAATCAGGATTAACATATTCATATAAGATTCTAATGGAAAGTGGGGGATCGATTTCCTATTGTCATTAAGTACTAAACTGATCCCCAAAAATTAAAAAAAAACGAATTAATATCCTTCCCTAGGTTCCATGTGTGATGCACTCTTGTGTGATCATGTCTCTTTTGAAATCAGGATTGACATATTCATATAAGATTCTACTGTGCATAAATTGGGGGATCTGTTTCCTGTTGTCATTGAATACTAAATTGATCCCCCTCCCTAGAATTTCTACATATTAATATCCTTCCAACCAAGGCTATAGGTCCCAGTTGCCAACCAAGGCTATAGGGCCCTGTCGGTCCTACTATTTAACCCATAGCTGGGGGAAGGACTGGATTCATAACTTTCCCATGAATATTTGCATATAAGTGAATCTAACAAACTCAACTGGAATTCGAACATAACTCTCAGATTTCTTATTCTGAGCCGTTATCCATCACACCACCTGTACATCCAAGCTTACAGCACTTGGTATTGCCATGCAGTCACCCATCTAGGTACTGGCCAAGCTCAATGTTGCTTAACTTCAGTGTTCAAATGAGAAGTGGTGTTTAAATGGGCTGGAATGAAAGTGTAGAATCTGTTCTCCTCATCTTTAATGTTAATGGTAATATTAACCGTTTCTTTATAAGGAAACATTCAGCACTCATTCATTGACTGTGAAGCCAATGCTACTTAAGTTACATTTTTCTTCATACCATGGTCATTGAACTGGGATCAAAGTGTAGTATCTGTTTTCTTTCCAGTATCGAGGGGGGGCTTCTTTCTTAACCTTTTATTTGAAGTAATTTGAAATGTCAACATCTTGATTATGTCGTTATTTTCTCTTCAAGTTACATGTGCACTTCAGGTGATGTCGTTTCTGTTATTTGATACAGTTCTTTGTCTGTGATTCTGTAGCGCCAGACCCCAAGATTTGAAGAAGGGCTGATATTAAAAGTCTTCAAGTGATGTGGTTTCTGTTATTTGGTACAGTTCTTTGTTTGCGATTCTGTAACTCCAGTTCACGAGTTTCAAAAGAGAATCTTCACACAAAACCAATTGCTGCGAATTTTTAGATAAAAATTCATTTTTAAGAATTGATCTTAGAAGGCAGACAATTTAAATATTTCTGAACAGGTTTGGCTCCATGCATGGCATCTATATGAGAGTCTGGATCTGACAAGACTATTTAAGAACATGGCCTGAGTTTTTAGGGTTAATGTTTTGGTTTTGTAACCTGTAGTGTAACATGCTCTTTCCCAGAAACTGTAACTAAGGTCTGCTCAGTATAGTTGCAGTAGAAACCACAGATGGGTGATGTGGGTATTGAAGAAATACAAATGTGTCTGAGCAAACATCTGCAATAGGGATTGTCTAGCTGCTCTAGTAGACAGGTATCCTCGAATACAAGTGGACAGCTATACTTTACAGGAAATATCAAGTTTTAGGGAAACATTGTTGACAATTATGCGTTTACTTACATAACAAATAAATAAAAATAATATAAATTTTGATTGTATATTCGATTTGTTGTTAGGTATTTTTAATTTTCTCCTTTGTTATTGGAAACATTTTAGAATACTTTGGTTGCAATGCTAAGTTTCCTAAGTTGAATAAACTGCAGTTATTCCGTTTATGCTTTGTTACCTCTCTTTTTACCATTGTTGTTTTTAGATTGATTTCTTCCAGTCAATTTTGAAAATTTAGAATGATCTTATTCCCTTAAGTAAAAAGGAATATTTTAAATTAATATACGACCAAAAAAAAATTATTTTAACCAAATACCTTAATGATTTCACTATAATTCTGTAACAATAATGTAATGATATTCCATAGACAAATCTACGGTTTATGTTACCTCATCTTATTGCATCATTACGAAATATAAACATAAATTGAGCTTGAAATATTGTACAATCGGCTCTAATTCTTTTGTAAAATACTTGGATATGATATAATGAATAATTTGCAGTGAAAAAAAAAGCAATTTTTGATTTTTTTGTTGAATATTCTTCTACTCTGAATACACCAAATGTCCCAATCATTATGGGACAGATATAGCATTTTCATGGTCTCTGTCCCATAATCATTGGTACATTTAGATACACATTTCATACACCAAATGTTCCAATCATTATGGGACAGATGTAGCATTTTCATAGTCTCTGTCCCATAATTGTTAGTACATTTAGATATTTTTCATACAAAAAATGTCCTAAATCATTATGGAACAGATGTAAGCATTTTCATGGTCTCTGTCCAAAATAATTGTTAAATACATTTTAGATACACATTTCATACAACCAAATGTTTTTGAATCATTATGGGACAGATGTAGCATTTTCATAGTCTCTGTCCCATAATTGTTAGTACATTTAGATATAAATTTCATACACCAAATGTCCCAATCATTATGGAACAGATGTAGCATTTTCATGGTCTCTGTCCCATAATTGTTAGTACATTTAGATACACATTTCATACACCAAATGTCCCAATCATTATGGAACAGATGTAGCATTTTCATAGTCTCTGTCCCATAATTGTTAGTACATTTAGATATAAAAACATACACCAAGACAAAAAATCATTATGGAACAGATGTAACATTTTCATGGTCTCTGTCCCATAATTGTTAGTACATTTAGATATACATTTCATAAAAAATGTCTAAAGAATTATGGAACAGATGTAGCATTTTCATAGTCTCTGTCCCATAATTGTTAGTACATTTAGATATAAATTTCATACACCAAATGTCCCAATCATTATGGAACAGATGTAACATTTTCATGGTCTCTGTCCCATAATTGTTAGTACATTTAGATATACATTTCATACACCAAATGTTCCAATCATTATGGGACAAATGTGACATTTTCACAGTCTCTGTCCCATAATCTTTGGTACATTTGCATGCACATTTCATACAATAAATAGGATATGCAGTGGATAGGGATTTGGAAAGAGAAATCAGAGAGCGGACTTTAAATTCCAGTTACATTCACTTAAATGCAAATACCTTTGAGAAAGGTATGAGGCCATCCCCCTGGTATGGATTAAATAGTAGGACTTGAATTTGGAAAAATCATTGTTTCTCAAAAAGTTAATGCAATATTCATTCAGAAAAAAAAAATGTAGAGTGAATGTGTGTGGGTGCATGTTTGCCTGCCTATGGAATGGTGAGGGTAGTCAAGCAGTCATCAGCACTGAAATGGCAAACTGAATTCTTGTTTTGTTTTGTTTTGTTTTGTTTTATGGCATATCAACCTCAATGGGTTATTTAGTGCTAACAAGATTTTTAGTAACATCCAAAAAAAAAATGTATATCACAAATAATAATTTTTCCTTCAAAAATGTATTGCTGGTAATAATTTTTTCCCTTCAAAAATTCATTGCTGGTAATAATTTTTTCCTTCAAAAATGTATTGCTGGTAATAATTTTTTTCCTTCAAAAATATATTGGTGGTAATAATTTTTTCCTTCAAAAATGTATTGTTGGTAATAATTTTTTCCTTCAAAAATGTATTGCTGGTAATAATTTTTTCCTTCAAAAATGTATTGCTGGTAATAATTTTTTCCTTCAAAAATGTATTGCTGGTAATAATTTTTTCCCTTCAAAAATTCATTGCTGGTAATAATTTTTTCCTTCAAAAATATATTGCTGGTAATCATTTTTTTCCTTCAAAAATATATTGGTGGTAATCATTTTTTTCCTTCAAAAATATATTGGTGGTAATCATTTTTTTCCTTCAAAAATATATTGGTGGTAATCATTTTTTTCCTTCAAAAATATATTGGTGGTAATCATTTTTTTCCTTCAAAAATGTATTAGTGGTAATAATTTTCTGACTTCAAAAATGTATTGCTGGCAATAATTTTTTTCCTTCAAAACTGTATTGCTGGTAATATGTTTTTCCTTCAGAAATGTACTGCTGGTAATTTTTTTTTTCTTTCAGAAATGTACTGCTGGTAATTTTTTTTTTCTTTCAGAAATGTATTGCTGGTAATAACTTTTTCCTTCAAAAATTCATTGCTGGTAATAACTTTTTCCTTCAAAAATTCATTGCTGGCACTAAAATCTATTTTTACACTTTCATAGTGTTTTACTCCTAGTTTGGGCTGGAGGTAACTATTTGCCCATAGCTGGGACCCTAACAAGTGCTGCCACCCCAGGTCAGAGTGGACCTGTGAACACCAGCAATTAAGAGGTGGTTCAATGCTCCTCAAAAGCTCCTGATAAGAGGCCTTGCTGTTGGGTGTAGTTTATCGTCATACCCAGGACTTGTTGAGACTAGGAAATGTATGAATGCACTTACACCTGCATTAGCTTTTCACCAGTTATCCTGACTTAACTCTGGTTTTTGGCACACCACAATATGAATGCTGTTTCTTCCATTGTCAACCTTCAGAGAAACCAGTCTGTGGATATTTTAAAGTTCACCCAATACAAGGCCCAAGAGCCACTAAAGGTAGAGTGATACTGAATGAGGTTGTTGTGTGGGTCTAAGAGGACGCAGAGGTAAGTGCAGATTATGAGGCTATGTAGGATAGAAAACGGTTGATCCTAGACTTGAAGAGGTTAAGATATGGGCGATCAGGGACGTATGTTCGACAAAGTAGTCATTCTTAAGAAGAAGCTGAGTGGAACTTCCTTCTTACCAATGGAATACAAGACCTGGTTTCAAATCTTACCATGAATGATTTGTTAGAGAGGTAACATCAGCTTAGAGAGACGATTTCAGTGTGTGACACCATTGGGAAGTGCCTGAAAACAACACCATAGTTTAACCGAAGCCTTGTGAGAGAAATTGGTTGATGGAAGTCTTTGAAAGCCATCGATGGTTGTGCTATCAGAAAGTCACAAGTCATCGTGACTGAGGGTTTGAATGTACTGGCACTGTTCAAAAAACTGATCACACCAGATAGACACTCTGTCTCCCAGAAACTGTAGAGAAAAAATAAACAGTAGTAAATTGAATCAATGGTCTTCCAACCATCAAGCTGAAAAGAATCTATTAAGACTGACATTTGTTAAGTGTTGGGTACCTGTAATCAAAACCAGAGATTGTCTGTGATCTTTTGGCAACAAAGCATTACCATTCTCATGTATATAAAAACACATTCATGCAAATTTAGCATTGGTTTAACTGTTGAGAGATAATTTTTTCCAAACGTTGAATTTTTAATGAACTGAACATAGGTTATCTAAAGCTCTGTGTTTTTTAAATTATCAGATTCTTTTTTCTTGACAGTCTGGTTCTCTTCTATAAGAACATCTGTAATCCCTTATATATATTATACTGGGGTTGAATAAGAGTGACGAATTTTGTCGGTAGAAATAACCTTATTCCCTATATGAGGTGATTATGAAATTTATTGTGTACTTATATACAGTGCTGTTCGATAAAAGTGACTCACCTTATCCTTTGAATTTAGCTCAACTTTCATTTCATCGGAGAAGAGAACAGTCTTCCAGTCTTCTACGTTGAAATTTTTGTAATAGTGAGTCCATTCAAGTCTCTTGGCTTTGTTGGCTTTGCTTATTAGTGGCTTAAACCTTCGTGTACAAGAT